TATAGCCATATGCATCTTTAAGATATTTTATGTTGATAATTAACGATAACTTAATAGTCAAGAAATATTGCAATTTAAATAAAAGACTTCGATGTGACGGTAGGGGACTTAAGTATTTACAACATTCTCTCTGTGAATAAAAAGCATTAAAGCAGAAAAATATTCTTTTTATAATCTTTACACATACTGCGCGAAAACGGTAAATTACTTTATTAAGTTATTTACTGCAATGAATGTAACTTCGGATTCTACAAAGTAGATATAATTTTAACTTACTAGATATGTATGACGAATATTTCTACGATATCTATGTATCTATGTCATTGGTTTTTTTTACCTCGAAATAGTTTCTTAATATTTTATATATACTAAATATATAGTCAACTAGTACTATAGTTGACTAGTACTATATATAGTACTAGTCAACCAAAATTTGTATATACAATTTTTGGAACTTATTTCAAAAATATGTAAAAAAAAAGCAAAATAAAATAATTACAGTCCAAAGCTGTAGTATTAACTGAATAACATATATACAAATGCCAATTACGTCGAAGCACCCTGACCTTCAAAAGGCTTCTCGTTTTCAAGCTGTGGTTTCGAAATTACCTCGAAGTTATCCCTGCGGTACCTGGGTGTTCTCATATATATCAGGATTACTTTAAGAGACCAGCTCGGTAATATTGTAACAAGCTCCCATTTGGGTTTCTTCTCCGCACTGTATCGGATGATGCTGCATGTGTTATAGCAGGTATGCCGCCACTTGATCTGCTGGCATACGGACTTCGAGAGATCTGGCACAGTAAAGTTGGCTGGAAAATCACAACCAGCTATTGTTCGTGAACTTAAAGCAAATAAAATATCTAATCGTATCGTGTATCGTACTTTAAATCGTTATGATAATACAGACAGCGTCGCCAAACACTATGGTAGTGGACAAGAAAAAACAGGAAGATCACCTAAAATGATTCAGAAAGTAAAGACTCGACTTGAACGAAATCCACGTCGAAGTGGTAATTAAACAGCCAAAGATCTGCAAATATCGCAGCGAAAGATCTGACACATATTTCAAAATAAGCTCAAGGTAAAGCTTTACAAGTTCCAAAAGGCACAAGATCTTACACCAAAGCAAGAAAAAGTTATATTCAAAGCAGTAAAGATGTCGTCACGCTTGCACAAACGTGGCGAATTCTCAAAAATTATATTCTCTGATGAGAAAAGTTCCCCATTGAGCAGTTAGAGAAATTTTTAAAATTTGAATCAATAAAAAATAATTTCATACAAAAAAGATATGGTCGCTTGAATAGGTAACACTTCAATCCCCTGACCCTGTACTGCATCCCAATAAACATAGCTTCTACAACACACTTATTCACTGATCCTAATGGATTCCTACAACATTCATAACTATTTGCCGATTACTATCAATATAAATTATATATCGATTGATTATAAAACTGCCATTTAAACTAAAATACTACCTTTTACACACGCGATCATTTGACATAATCGAATAACTGATGTAAGATATATGGGTACCAACGTAAACCTAGTGTTAAATGTATGATCTCCTGTACAACAGTCGTGGTTTTTACGACGATTATGATGTCATATTACCATTAGTGGTCTCTATTCATAATTTTGATTATTAATATAATTAATTATAATATAAAATGGCAGAACATATTACAGACAAGGAAGAATATTATAATTACAATATTATATGAAAGACACTATATTTTCTCGTAAGACAAAAATTACGAAATTTTTTTACTCAAATTCTTGATTTAGATTCATCATTCGGGAATCAAGCAAATTTATTTTACTAATAAATGTCTTATTTACATGAAATCGGCACTTGCTGAAAGTATAAAAGTATTCGCCACTTTCTTTCGTATTCCTTTCTCATGTGATTTGCAATCAGTTCCCTTCAAATGGAAAAAAACCGTTTCTTCGAACGAGCCATGTTACACATGGAGACATTGTAATTGCTTTCATTGTAAATTTAAAATTTGAGAATGAGAGAAAGAGACATTTTGATTAAATGTTGCTCATGAATACGTAGAAAGCTATGCTTTGTCACGTTGGTCAAAACACTGTTGCTCCATAACAAACATAGAATTTGTTCCTATTGAAAATAAATAAGTGTATTTTTGTGGATATGTGAGCATGTCCACTGCTTGACGGCAAGCAGTTTTCAGTTACAATGCTCTAACCTAAAACCCTGACTTTTAATTTTGACGAGTAGCTACTGCCATTCGCTCAGAGGTGCCTTACTCTGCTATATGATCCGCTTCTTGACATTCTCCAATCTAGCACTCTATTACATGACTAAGTATCTGTCAATTAGTATAAGCTCTACTAATCTCTTTTATTCAATTCAATGAGTTGTATTCAGGTGCTCCCAGCATCCCTCTCCATAGCCGCGAATTACGCAATTCCGGTTACAGAATCAACACCATGTTATTCACGATCAACAACTGGAATCTTCAGTATTCCTTTCTAGGAGATGGTTTTAGAGAATTAAAGTATTAGTTTCTAAGCAGTGATTTTATTCACACTCCAACACTCCCCTAATTATTGCTATGATGTACTCAGCAGCATGATGTTCACGAACAGCTGGAATCTTCAGTATTCCTTTCTAACAGGTGGTTTTAGAGAGTTAAAGTATCACACTTTGGCTTTTCATACTCTTCATCTACCAGAAAAAAAAATGGAGTTGAGTGTGAAAACGCTCCAACTACAATCAGCAACTAAATTTCATAAAAGAATTGTATATAAAAACAGAACAATATTTTTGTAGCCACATAGGCAACCGAAAAGGTTGATATAATTTAACTTTGTGGATCTATGGGTGCAATTATTGTTGCTCTCTATCATTGTTATTTGCATCCCGTGCAGATTTATTATGTAAAATATATTTTTAATAGAAGAATGAATTTATTAAATCATAATCCGATTTCAAAATATAAACATCTGATAATATCATGTGTCCGATATATGTTTATATATAGTCTTCACATTTTATTTAAAACTTTTAAATTTAAATAAACTACAGTTTTTGAAATTAGTAACACAACTTTTTGTTTTTAAATGGATTTTACGTAGAAGGTCATCCTGCCTCTCATATGAGTAAAATCTAACAGTTCTTCTAACAAGTAATCCAAAACATTAGTTACTATGTACGTCATAATATAACACCTGTCCACTTATTCACTTAAAATTAATTACTAACATTTATTGTTTGATTAATGGATAGTAAAAATTGATATAAAATTTAGAAATAAATTTCTTTCGAATTTTTAATTGCATGTACATAAATTTAATTGAATTGCATGAAATTATATACCAAGGAAATCAATTTGATTCAAGTCATTTGCCGTAAATCCTTTAAGAGGCACTAAAACGACGAGTGATTACAATTGTCGTTGGCGATAGGAGCAACATTAATAATTCATGTAAATGCGAAGTGCACAATTTTGTTTATGACAATGTCTGATATGCGATATCTGATGTGAGTGTGAGTCTTTACTCACATCAGTGAAGTACAAAATTGCAATCTGTAGAGTTTTGTGCAAAAGTGACCATAGAGTACAGTCCGTGGGAGTGTGTAGTATAAATTAAATAGTGAGCGGATTAAATAAACGTTTCAATTTAAAGTGGCGCAATTATTGCATAATCGATTACAGATACTTGGATTAGCGCTTGGATTAATGCAATTTTAATGCGCAAATTTAATCGAAGTCTTATTTACGGTACCAGTATTCAAATGTACGAAACTAATTTCGATTACTTGGATTTGTTGGATTTGCAAATCAAAATTAATGCAATTTTTATGAGTCAAATGTTGTGTTGCAATTTCATATTAAGATTTTAAGAGTGTAATGAGGGTTCGACTGACTCACTTACATAGCAATTTGTAATAAATTGTGTTAGAAATAATTGTATAAAATTTTCTATTAGACATTTATGTGAATTTTTAATCAACTGAGTTGACGTGTGGGTCTATATATCAAAACTATTACAAATTAAAATTGATTTAAGTACATTGGGCAAAAAAATAAGCAGTTTTAGTTGTCTACAAAATCTTATATTTGTACGAGTAAATGTGAATTGTATTTAATAGTACTGCTAACTTCTATATTTCATTCTCTGGTAGCGATTCATTTGATTAACTCAGGGAAAATCGGGTAATCTACATCACTTATTTTGAAAGTGTTTTGTTTTGTTTAAACCATAACAGAACTTCGCTTAAATTATTTTTAATCCAGATTAAAAATTGTTGACATAACCATCTCTTACTGTTGATAACTATGATGTTAACAATCAATGCGCGAATAGTCGATGAGATATAACTAAAGCTCATAATAAAAAACACTAACAAAACACAAACATTGTGATACAAAATGAAATTTCTTCAGAAAGCAAGTACTATGTATCATCATGTCAGTGTACGGTTTTGAACCGGGGTACTAGGAGAATACTACACAAAAAGTTATCCTATCCTTGACATATGTAAAGAAATTTACAATTCAGGATGCTTTTGCTTTCATTTAAAGAGCAAAGTATCTTTAACGATTATTCGCTAACATAAAAGATCTACTATAGACGTACTAGTCCATTCCATTTCGACTGCAACACTATTTCAATTTCTATTCTGTTTTATTGAAAAGGATTGATGTTTAGGATTGTTTGCTAAGAGAGAAGATTTACTCTGGTCATACTAGTCCGCTTGATTTTGACTGCAATACCGTATTAATATCTATTCTGTTTTATTATTTTATTTCAAAAAATTCTTAGCGTGAACAGACAATCAAATCACAACCAAATATATAACACTTTTATTGAGAGAAGTTGTAAACTATTTGTGAGAGATAAACTCAAATGTAAACTGTAGAGCAGTCTATTAGATCTTTGTCAAGTTACTGAATATGAAACTCATTGCAGTGTGGGAGATTTTTCAGGGATTCAAGACAAATCGTATGAAAGAAAGCAGTATTTTCAGTCTGGTATTTTCAGTAACTGGTAGATGATCCAGAGCTTTAAGTAGTTGCAAAATTTTATTTTATAATGTTTAGTTTCAATCTAGAAAGATAAGCTCGTTTTCAAGGTAAAAGTGCTAAACAATTTACGTATAATTTACTGAACCAGTTCAAACATTTGTAGAGCTATTGTTTTATGATCTATTTTGTTAATGAAGATTGGTATAAGGTCATGAGGGATAAGGTTAGGGTAGTTTGGGTTGACAGCGTTATGCCCAAAACTCACTTCATACATAAAAGATATTGTGTGAGAACATTTTGTAAGTGGTGATCAACAAAGTAGTAGGTTTGTATTTTGTATTCTGTATTGTATGATCTTCTCGGAGAACTTGATATGTGCTATTACTTTATACATCACAATTTAATAAGTGGATGCTATGATTGCGTTCAAATACATCTGAATGAAAATCCATAGTCCTTATACTTCTGAAAATATTTTAAATATGTGGTGTTTACTTATCAATATATCTGACTTAACTCTATTACATTATATACATAATATAAATATTATACAATTTAATGTATTTGTAATTACTTTTTAATTGGAAACTAAACTTTTTCACATGAGCTTTTATTTGAGAGAGTCATTCGAATAATTTACTCATCATCGACTCTTGACATGCTTCATTATATTAATGGAAAAGCGTTTTGTACTCTTCCAATGTAACTGATGAATATTACTCGTTTATATAAAACATTGCAAAATACAGATCGTATTAGTATAACTTCTCTGGCTGCGTAAAAGGGTTTTGGTTGCTGTTGTTAACTTTTATTGATGCGTGTCGACTCAGCTGATTTCCAAGTATAATGATGAGGAGATATATTGAACATGCTCTACGCATTGCACACAAAACACTTTTGTACTCAAACATGGAGCTTCTCGATAAAATGATTTTTTATAGAAAATGCTTTAAAATTCAACTATTTTAACTAATGCAACTATTTTGTGCAAGTGATGTTGAAATTTCAAATAAATTGC